ACAAACCCAACTACCAATGAAAATACGATTTTGTCACGTTAACACCCTGATAATTAGAACTGTCGTCTTCAATTCCGGGAATTTGAGGAATTAGCTAGTTCTGTTGTCTGAAAAATTCAAAATTCAAGTTGTTTTGCTATGGCGCAAGACTTTTCCACCAAAAATGTGCATTCACAGCTCGAAGGAGGTGCCGAAGATAGTCCTCTGCGAGATGTTTTGAAAACAAAAGAAGACGAGAAGAATCTTGAAAACCAATTACTCCGTGCTCTCGGGGAAAACAATGCGAGCATTTGTTGGGAACTTCTGAAAAGGAATCATGATACGGTCAGGTCGGAATACAAAAAATTCCAAGATGACTGCAATGAAGCCAACAAGAAAGAGCAGCAGAGGGAAGGGAGATTTCACTGCGACTGTCGGAATTGCTGCACAAAAATTAAAAACTTTTATCGGGATTGCTGCACGAAAATGTCCAATTTTCTTCGCAACAATTGCAAATGTTGTTGTTGTTCGAACCCCGAACCGCAAGGATCAGAAGAAGACAGCATAAATGATGAAACCAAACTTAAGTGGATCAAAATTCTTTCTAACCCTCTGTTCATTGGTTTGGAATGGCTATGGAGAACAGGACCTCACTGTCAGTGTAAATCTTGCAAGGAAGATACGAAGTTGGATGGAAAAGAAAAGAAAAAGAAGGAGGATGTCATAGAAAGTTCTCTACATGATGCATATCTACTCGATGAAACGTCGTCTCTCAAGCACTACAATAGCCGAGATGTTTACAGAGAATCGGCGGAGGCTTACGAAACGTTTGCTGCTGGCGTGCTGGAGAAAGCCTCCCAGAATGAACTTTACCAGATCATGGATATAAAAGGAGAGGGCTGCCTGCTGAAAAATAATCCTAATCAACACAGAAGTTTTATTCAAAGTCTGAGCCTTCTCAAGAGTGCAGTCAATAAGGGAAGGAAGAAGGTATGCTCTCGGGATTAAACGACGATGTTGTTTAGCGCCGCAGGAATGTGAATGTTAATTTCTGCACTCAACCGTTTCTTAGAAATATCAGAAATGACCCCTCATTACTCTGCCAACAATTTCCAAATCTTGTGTGATGGAGACCGATCTTTAAATCTCTTGGTAACATAAATCAGTGACAGCACGTAGTAATTGATACTGTTGGCCTCCTTTATTCTCCACAAGATTAATCAGATCATTAAAGATTCGGCTTTGTTTTACTAATGGAGTTTGGACGAGATAACATCTGGCAAATTATTTTTAACCCATCGTATCTAGTACAATTTGCATTTCATTAAGGGTGTGAGCAACAAAACACCCAAGCTGAAATGTTAAAGTTTGGAGCTCGCCGACCAAACGTTAAATCCGTGAGTTAAGTGTTATTCTACATAAGGTGGAATGGTGATTCATATGAAATGCAGTTAAATTATACACTTTCAGTGCCTATCAACTTCGATGGTGGTCTTAATACATACTGCTTGTTTTCGTAAAGGAATGATCGTTGCAGCAAAAGTCTTTCAACGATTTCCTCTTACAGAGATTTTATTACATCAAAGCATTCTTTCAAAGTTTCCTTTGTCTGTTACTAAAATACTTGATATTCCGGCCGAACAAGTTAAGTTTTTCTGTCTCAAGGCTGAACGCGTATCCATCAGGGCCCGGTTGTTCAAAAGGTGGTTTAACTTGTAATTAGTTGCCCTTGAAATAAAGTTTGTATTAGGGTCTAAGTACTAAGGGTTTTACCTTAGTGTGACACAAAACTGATGGAAAAAATATATCCAATTAAAATTGTCTGCAAAGCTACACAAATTAAACTAAAAACTGGTGGCTAACCCTCGGTTAGCTTAATCGTAATATGTACAATCCGGCCCGGGTTAATAAACTTTTCTTCTAAACCTTAGAAACCTCCCACTGATTGAAAAAAATTCATCTCTTTGAATGCTCTGAGGCGTAAAAGCCCAATCAGCATCATTTCTTGTTCTGATAAACTAATTCGTCTATCTCTATATTTACCTGTAGTTTGTTTCAAGTCCAAGATGTCAAGCTATCCTCGATGCGATTATTTTTTACAAGATGCGGGATTGGCAGGACAAGAGCATGGCAAAAAAATTTTTTTGGTCCCTTTTGCAGTTTGTCGTCATCTTACTTGTTACTCCTATTTACGTTATCGTTCGACCATTCATGAAGACATGTTGCAGATGCCTTGAGGAATTATATGAGCATCCCTACAATAAGTTTGCAAACCACATCAGTTTTTACATTGTATTCCTGGGGCTGCTTTTCGCCTCAACTTTCGGCTTTGAACACGAGTACAGAACAA